CCACCATATGGTTGCTGGGAATTGAACTCAGGACCTCTGGAAGAGCAGTCAGTGCTCTTAACCTCTGAGCCATCTCTCCAGCCCCCCTAACTTTGTTTTTTGACAGTAGGAAAAGTGTCAAAGAAAATATCTCAAAAGCTTTAAAAAAAAAAACAAAAAACCTGACAGCCTCAAATATTGTTTTGTCACTTTGGTTTGCTAAAGGAAGATTGTATTATAAAGTAAGAAAAGACAGGTTTTTCTACAACTGCACTAAGTTTTAGTCAACATCTGCCTGCTCTGGGATGTACAACAGTTCTGCACTAATGGGATTTCAAATGATCGTACATCCTACTTTTTATTTTATAGACCCTATCAGGAGTAAACAGATACCTGATTAGGATCCAAGATGTAGTTCAACTTCATTGCTGTGGGGAGACAATGGACTTCTCTTTAAGGTGAGCAGCAGTTGGCCGAGGCTACGGACACCTTCAAAGCAGAAATTGTCTTGCTCATTGCTCACCCCTGGCACTCAGTACAATGCTTGACCTTGTGTGCAGTCAAGAGAACCTTTGTATTGAATCAAAGTCACACGCATATGCCTACAGGTGATGTATGACACTTTATCATTTTGTTTGCATTCTAGATGGTAGAATGAGAAAACAGTGTCTGCCAAGACTATAAATTCCATAGCAGACCTCAAGTTTCCTAATGAGATCAGAGCCAAGTATTGTGGGAGCTCACACCAATGTTCTGCTAAAAAGCAATAGGATCATTTTATTATCCTTAGATACCTGATCAAGTTAACACTGAAAATGACTTTACCATATTTACTCTTCATAATGCTAAGAGAAGTGTGGGAACAGGTGGAAAGATGCCAAAGGCTATAAATTAGTCTTCCTGTTGCTCTTTCAGAACAAGAATGGACAAGTTTTTCTATGAAGGTCCTAAGAATAAATATTTAGAATTTGCTGGCCAAATGAGCTCTATGGCAATGACCTTTTCTGTTGTATCAGAGACAGCTACACAATAGTGCTCTATTCATAAACAGTACCATTATATAAATGAACAGCTGTGGCTATGTGCCAATAAAACTTTATTTACAAAACAGGTGATAGACCATAGTTTCCTGATCCCAGCCTTAGGAAATGGTCAATGTTTTCAGTCTTGAGGGCAAAGGCATATTATTCAACACATAATCTTATTTCAATGATTATGTCAGCAAACTAGATCAAAAGGTGCCAGGGCAGTGGAGTAGATGGGTCACTCCTTTCACCTCCATCTCCACCTGGAAGATCTCGAATGAAAATCGAAGGCCATGAGAAGACTGAGTTCGACCCCCATGACTGACAGTGGAAGGAGAGAACTGACCTCTGCAGTTTTCCTCTGACCTTCCCACATGCTCTGTGGCACACCCCTCTCCCCACACAAGGAAATCAATGTAAACAGAGAGAGAAAAAGCAAATCACAACAGTGTCTTTTGCCTCACGGACTTAGCATTCTTGTTTTTTGTTGCAATGTTGGTTGGTAGCAATGGTTAAGAGCTGCAGGAGTGGGAGGCAGCTGCCTTCTGACCCCACAAGTCTAAAGGAGCTGGCTTGGCGGGGACATGCTAGCTGATCAAGGCTGGGTTACTCTATGTATTGCTTCTTGAACAGTCAGTCTTCAGGTCTTCACGTAACTACTGGCAACATGTTCCCCTAATTTTGGTTTGAGAAACTGTCCATTATGTTTGAAGAAAATTTTTGATGGTTATGGAATTTTAGGTTGTCGGCGATTTTCCTTTCAGGATTTTACACCATTCTTTTTGCTTGGTCAGTTTTGAAGAGAAGCCCACAGCAGTTCTTATCCTTGTTCATCTAGATTTTTGTTGTTCTTTGTAGTCAAGTTTGTCCTTGAGTTTCTGATGGAGTGGTGCCTTATGCCTAAGTGTAGAGATTTAGGCTGTTTGTTTTTGGAGCTTTCTGGAACTGTGGTTTGCATGTATCTCTGTGGGGATATACATATGTGAGTTTGGGTGTACGGAGGTCAGATAAGGGTGTTGGATCCCCGGGAGCTGGAGTCACAGGCAGTGATGGGCCATGGTGTGGGTGGTGGGAAGTGAACTCATGTCCTCTGGAAGAACAGCAGACAACCACTGAGACATCTCTCCATCCTCTAAGCAAACTGACTTGGAGGATTTCTCCTGTTCTTCTCTCTCTTCCTTACCTGGTATTCCCATGACATGTATGTTTTGTTTTTCAATTGGCCTTTCGTTTAGATATTCTCTTCTCTCCATCCTCAGTCTGTTCCTGTTTCTCAGTTTAAGACTTTTCTCCTCACACCGTCCAGCTTGCCACTCCTAACTCAGCTGCAGTCTCCCCATCCGCCCACCAAAGGGATTCTTTGTTACAATTTAATTTTCGCCATTTCCTTTGACTTTGTAGGAGTTTCTATTACTCTATTACCCACTTTTCTTCTGCTTTGTCCACTTTTTTCCCTTTTAGATTTCTTAACATATTAACCATGGTTAAATTCCTAATATGAATGTTTCAAAATCTCTGCCATATCCAACTGTGGTTCTGACGCTTGCTTGTCCTCTCCTCTCTGCCTTTTGCCTCTCAGCACTCAACACTTACCGAAAGCTAGAAAAACATGGACAAACAAAAACAGGCCTTTTGGGTGTGCGGTTTCATGCCCCCCACCTAGGCTAGGCTTATTGTTGTTACAGTGAAAGGCTGCCATTTCCCCTCATGGCCTTGTTTTGTCCAGGCCTAATCTTAAAGACTCCTAAAAGTAAAAGATATTCTGAGTGTTCTGCCTGCATGCATGCATGCGGACCACGTGTGTGCCTGGTGTCCATGGAAGCTAGAAGAGGGTGTCAGATCCTCTAGGAACTGGAGTTACAGGAGCTACATGTGGATGCTGGGAACCAAATCCAGGTCCTCTGTAATAGTAAGCACTCCTAACTACTGAACCATCTTTCCACCCCAAGACCCCTTCCACAGCGTCTGAGCCTTGTGTTTTTGTCTACTGTAATTGTACAGTTGTCCTACCAGTGCGGTAGAAAGATGTGAGAGCAGGGGGACATTCTGTAGTTCTCTCGTCACTGTGGCCCAGGCTGGTCTCTAACTTGTGGATGTCCTCCTGCCTTAGCTCTCCCAAGGACTGGGATTCCAGTTGGGCTCCTCTAAGTGATAGGAAGGCTGTGGGGATTGGAGTGAATATGAAGCCCCTTTTCCCAGGCTGCTAAAAGAACCCCATGGGGGCAGGCTTTTGTTAAGGACCTTGTTAAGAACTCTGGGGTCATATTTCTGAATGGCCACGCCTGCCACCCTTGTCCCCCAGTCAAGAAAGAGTGTCTTCTCAGCTCAGTGACAGTCTGGTGGGTTCCTGGAGTGGGAGGCACACCACTGTCTAAAATACTGGCTGCTCATTACGTCAGCATTACAGGTGGTGGGATTACCTGATTTGCTCGTTGGGAGAACTTGGAGAGCTCGTGGTGACTTTGTCAAGGGACTTGTTAGGGCACCGCGGGGTAAATGCCGGTCAGACACACGTATAGAGTTCCTCCCCCACTGTCCTTGAGTGGCCACACTCGGTCAGTGTGCGGCTCTCTCCTTTCTCTGAGCCTCACCGGTTACACAAGGACGCTCTCCGCTCCTGTCACTCAACCTTGTCCATTCTAAGGGAAAGCCCACCATTTAGTACGCAAGCAAGCATGTTTCAATGGCATTTCTTCATAGCACCCTGTAAGCTTCTTTCCTATCATAAAGCCATTTTTTTTTCATTTTTCTAAACTTAAATATAGAAAAAAGAATTGTTCTTATCATCTATGTGGTAAATAAAACCTTTCCCCATCCCTGGGAAACTACATGCTAGAATTCTTCACCTAGCGAAAGCGCCCTTTTCCTACATGTGGTTGAGCAATCACCCTTTCTGGCTTTCTCTCTCCTTTCCTCCTAGTTCTGCCCTATCATTTTGAGAGGACCTCATCAACTTGATCTAATAGAAGTAAATGTGAAGCAACCCACTCACAGCAGCATAAATCATAACCACAGAAAGGAGGAAATGTCTACATGCAAGAGCTGACTCTAGTGCTTGATGACCTCTACGTTTTTATTTACCTGCATACCCAAGCATCGAAAATGAGCCTAAAGTGTTCGCTACCTGAAATTTCCTAACTCCGATCCAGTCTTTGGTCCAGCTCTTAGGCACAGATGTAACTAAGATGACTTAAATGTCCTACTTCTCAAAGCCTGGCTGGATCTGTGGAACTGGAGTCACTAGAGGCTTGCCAGAAATGTACAGACCCCCAATATGCATAGAAAGTCCAATATGACAAAATCCCGGTAACTCAGGTCAGCATATGTATGTGTGTGTATAGGTGTGTGTGTGTGTGTGTGTGTGTGTGTGTGTGTATACACACACATACATGTATATACACATATACACACACACATATATATGTATATATATAATATCAGTCATTACAAAGTGAATTATAATGAACTACATCAAGTTTTGTACACAATACAGAACTCCTTCACAAAAATAAACCATTTGACAAACTGCTTCTCACTGTAAACCCTGACAGCTGTAACAGCTCATGTAAAGAATTTGACTATATGCAAAGAATCATCCAGCAACCTGGCTAAAAGCAAAAACCAGAGGGTCATAGATGAGGTCTGAAGCACACCAAAGTCTGATCTTTGCCTACAGCTGACCGTTTTTAGCAATGTCAATAAACACAAAGAACAATTTACTTTTTGTTTTTCATATGGATAAAGCTATTGAGCTACCTCCCTTTCAATTTCTCTCCAAATGGAGTAAGAAATGAATTTCTAACCAGTAGTTAAATGGTTCTCCCCCAGGTTTCCAATGGATGCCTCTACTCACAACATTCCCTTATATTTCCCTGCCCGATGTGTCAATCTTAGCTGAAACTAAGCAAACCCGATTGGTTCTCAGTCACCCAATACATGCAGCACACCAGCAAACCTGATGGAAGTGATGAGAAGTCATGACCGACTTCATTTACTAAAGCAGGGAGGAGGGAAGAGTCAACGCTCATTTAGACAAGCAGCTGGGTTCATTCCTCTACGTGCGCCTGCTCCATGTGCACCATGTGCGGCTTGGTGCCGGCGGAGGTCAGAAGGCGGCATTGGGTGCCTAGAACTGGGGTCACAATGGCTGTGAACCACCATTTGGTTGCTGGGAATGGAACCCCAGTCCTCAACAGCAACACATGCTCTTAACCTGAGCCATCTTTCCAGTCCTCACTGTTCATGTTTTTCACATCATGAAATACTTATCTAATGGATGAGATCAAATAATTCTATCAGGTACCTTGATGGTCTACATTATTGGTCTGAGAGAAGATGCAGGACCACTTTACCAAGGATTCCATGAATTACACAAAAGGTCTGTAGTGGAATAAGGTCTTAATCATAGGTGTATCAATTTAAAGATGGTTAACTGATCAACAAGATGCATACCCATGAAAATAGCTCTTCTCTCCACTCTAACAGGCTCTACGAAGAGACCCGAGACCTCAGCCTCTTCCTCTTCAACGATGCACTGCTTGTTACCAGCCGGGGCACATCTCATACTCCATTTGAAAGGACTTCTAAAACAACCTACCAGTTCATTGCATCAGTGGCCCTTCCCAGGATACTCGTAGAAGACATTCCAGACTCCAAATGTATGTATTTTCTTTCATGAGAAAAGCTATCTCATACCAAACCCATTAATTATAAAAATATCCAAGTAGGGAAAAGGCTGGAGCAATTGGCTAGTTTGTAAACAATTACCAATACTAAGATGTCATTAACTTGCCTCTGAAGAAACAAAAGTTGGCAATATCAGAAACGTACCTTGGACAACAGAAACCAACTTTTAGTCACAGAGGTGGGCAAGGGCCACATCATCCTGAGGGCTTCTGTGAAACTGTCTTACACTTTCTGAAGATGCTACAGGCTTGAGCTGCTATTTCAGGTATCTGTCTGTCTGTCTGTCTACCTACCTATCTATCACCATTAGTGGCACTACTGGAGATAGACTACCTACCTACTACCTACCTACCTACCTACCCACCCCCCCAC